CGCGTGGGGGAAGTGTATCCCCTCCGCCCCCCCCCCCCCCCCCGACCCTCCTCTCAGAGTGAGTCTAGACCCCCCAAGGAGAAGGAGATGAGAAGGATGTGAATAATATTCATAGAATCAAAGGATTTGACTGAAGCTGAAGATCAGAGAAGACAGACAGGATCAAAACCTGGACCAATCACGGAGCTGACCACACACACCAACACACACTGGTCTGACCCTCCTTGTCTGCTCTCCTCCTTGCTCCTCCTCTTTTCCAGATTTTAGAGGCTGGAGCTTAGTGTGCAGGATTATTTGGTCTGAAGCTGAGAGACATGAGAGACCTGAGAGTGTGCTGATGGCTGAGACAGAGACAGATGGTCCTGTTCACTGGCTCCACATGTCCCTGCTCAGGAAGATGAGGAGAAACTGCACACACACGCAGCCAATAAAGCCACTCCTGCACTTCCTCCTCCTGGGTGTATTTCCTCCTCAGCACCGTGACAAAGCCAGATGCCTCCTGAAGCAGGAGGAGAAAACTGTTATCTCAACGTCTTCTCCTCGACAGGTGCTGCACCTCCTGCCTCCCGTTAAAATCCTCTTACCTCCACACACACACACACACTAATACAACACTCTCCAACTACCCTGAGCTGTTTGGTGGAATTATAGTCATGAATTCAAGAGCATCATTTAACTGTGATTTTTCAGCCCCGTCCCTGTTAGCAGGGACACAGGTGGGGCCGCCTCCCTGAGGCTGAGAAACAACCAGATGGTGAAGAGTCAGCTGATGGATACAATTCTTCCATTGGTCAATGTTGTTGAAGATCATCGTCTAGTTTTCAAAGGTCTGAAGGGTGAATGTACACACCAGCTTGAATCGAGTACTGGGAGAACTGGGAACACTGGAGGATCTGTGGCTCCGTCACTGAACTGCTGTAGTTAAAAACTAAATCAAATACAAAAACCTTCTGTTTTCTGAGCTTCTCAGGTCGTTGAAGGTCAGCAGTAAATGAATATCAAATCAGTTTTGTTTTTTTCGTTAACTGTGTTGTTGGAGGTTCCTGTAAGAACTGCTGTGATGTGATGGACACAGGAGGGAGGTGGTACGACCACACGTGTCAATATGATATATTAAGGCTGTTTTTGTCTGTGTGTGTTCTTCAGGTGATCTCCGCTCTCTCCAGGATTTCCCACCACAGCATCGCTCAGAACAAAGGCATCAGGTCAGTGTTTGTTTTTTTTGTTGTTTTTTTTTGCTCACTTTTGACATTTGACCTCTGTCTTTAATAACCCAGGTCACACTCACTGGTGTTAACCTGACTGAACCTCAAGCCCTGGTCAGAACCAGAACCTGCTGCTGTTGTAGGAACTTTACAATCTGTAGCTGTGTGATTTAGGCGATACAAACGTCAGGGTAATAGAGACTGACCAACAGGAAATGGATTTTGGTTGTCCTCCTTCCCTATGTCCTTACCTCCTACCCAGCTACCTAACCTCCTCCCCCCCTTCATACCTCAGTTACCACCTTCTACCTAAACTTCCTGATTCTATCATTCACCTTTTTCTCCTTCTTGTTTACTCTCCTCAGCTCCTTCATTACATCCTGGTTTCTCTTTTTTTCCCACCTCCCTTCCTTCTTTGGTCAGATAAAGACAGACCAGCCACCATCCATCACTCTGTCTGTTTCCTGTTGCAGAAGCAGCTTCTGTCCAAGTGTTGAAGGTGTGAATGTCATTTTTCTAAGATGGTATTTATGGCAGAGAGAGAATCAATTACTCCTCCGCTCCTTCACTCTATCACTCATTCACTCCTTGACGCCTCCGCTCCTTCACTCCATCACTCACTCACTCCTTAGGCCCCCCACCCTCCCTTCACTCCTTCATTCCTTCACTCTTGTGCTTTATCAGGCCTAAAATGAGTCTCTGATTTCTCCTCATTTGCTCAATCTGTTCAGAGCTCACTGGCTCATCGGCGCCACATAAAGGGCAATTTTCTCCATCTGAGTAATGAGTTGATGGAGCGAGGCCATTAGGAGGCGTGCCAGGAAAATAAAGGAGAGAGAGAGAGAGAGAGAGAGAGAGAGAGAGGAAGGGTTTAACTAACCTGCTGACTCGTTTCTCTCCAGGTGTCAGAAATCAATGACAGTCTGACCTGAGTGTAGATGAAAGTCGTTACTGTTTCAGCCCTGACTCACTTTATATTCAACTAAATGAATCTGAATATAGATCAATCTGTAAACTATTAATTAGACCTCAGCTCCTCACCCTTCTGGGTCAGAGCTCAGAGTTGAGGTGGACTCACTGTCCTTTAACTGGAGGACTGCTGACGTCGTCACCACATAAAAAGTTTTGCTCCAGGTTTAGGGGTTTTATATTGACCTCTGATCTCTGTCCCTGATCTTACACAGAAATAATGGAGCACAGATTCAGCCTCAGGAGGATCAGTGAAGCATGACTCTGTTAGTTCATAAGTTAATCCCCGACCTTTATAAGAAATCACTGCATTTTTAATAGAGTGAAATGACCTGTGTCTGACTGGCGTTTGAAACAATTAGACTGAAGCCCCGCCTCCTTCTCCTTCCTCTGGGGCTGTGGTGGCTTAGTGGTTAAGGACTCAGACTTGGGTCCGGAAGGTTTCAGATTTGAGTCCACCGTCCCCACACACTGCTCCCCGGGAGCTTAAAGCTGCCCACTGTTCACTTTGGTGATGGGTTAAAAGCAGAGGTCACATTTGGTTGTGTCCAGTGTCACTATGACAAGGAGTTCACTTTCCTTTCCTTCTTCTCCTCATGTCGCCTAACTACTCACCAACCAACTAAGCAACCGTCAAATTTAGCGGTGGGAAAAGTCTTTGGCTCACGGGCCATAATGAGGTTCACAATAAAATGCACAGGAAGAACCCTAAATATTTTTAAAAATAATTTGGCACTTTTACTGTCTGCCGATATTTAATGACATGAAATGACAGGCACGTCATTGTAATGCACGAAACAGAAGGATTGACCATCATCTCAGTCACCATACCTGGTGAACCAGTGTTTGGTGGGCTGCATTAGAAAGCCTTATGGGTCATATCTGGCCCACGAGCCGTAGTTTTGCACAGGTCTGACGTTATCAAACCGTTGCCAACATATAACCAGACAAATGACCATCTAACCAATCTGTGTGACATTGGTGGTCTCCTGACTCAATGTTAGGACAGTCTATAAATGATGACCTTAGTGAATTGGTCGACCATTAGCCTGCAGGTGAGGCCTCTGCCGCTGCTGTTGTACTCCACGGCTGGGTCACTGTGTTCAGTCTCAGACCCACTCGTCCACAGGCAGGTCCATTGATGTTCTGTTGAGCTTCATTGATCTGGACACTGACGTGTGTTCACTGTAATCAGGTTCCTTGTGTTCCTGTCTCCGTCAGTGTCCCTGTCCAAGTCCTGCTGACTGTACTGTACAGCTCACACTGACATCACTCGCCGGGTCATGTCAACACCTGACATGACTCTCTAGACGTAGCTGTGGGTCAGTGGGTAGTGCCAAGAAGGTTGTGGGGTTGAGTCCAGACTACTTAAACATGTCGTAGCACGGCACGGAGCATCTGGCTGTAGTGTGTGTGCACCCTAGACCAAAGTAGACAGTAGACACAGGACTTTACAGAGACTGACACTGGACTGCACCACGACCAGCACCAGACTGTACAGTTGTCCAGGAGGTAGAGTGACCAGCACCAGGGACTAGTTCTGGGACTAGCACCAGAGTGTACAAGAACCAGTATTAGACTGTACTGATGCTAGGAACAAAGACAGCAGCACTGATGGGAGGAGTTGGAGGAGGAGGGGGTGATGGAGGAAGAGCCACAGTGTTGAAGTCTTCCTCCCTCACGACACTGAATTTTTTCACACACATTATCACTGCATTAATCACGTCACATATGAAGTTTTCTTCACGGCCACTGAACTCATGAAGGCGGCACGAGTTCATTCACATGTGGAACTGATTGGTGCGTGAGACGGAAGAGAACTGAGAGGTTTTTAATTAGAATACACACATTAAGACACGAGCAGGAACAAGAACAAAGACCAAACGCTAAGGAAGACCCTTTGAACCTTCAATCCTCTGATTACGATTCCGGTTCTGTAATGACTCGGACGTGAAGTTTTTGTCTTACTGACAAAAGGCTTCCAGAGTTCCTCCTCCTCCTCTTCTGTGGCTCAGCTGCAGCTCATCAGAGGAGACCTGATGAAGTTCTGGCTCTGCGTCTATTGGTCCTGATGGTGCTGTTTGAGAGAGAGAAAAACTGCAGCTTTGGAAGCTGTTGTCCTCTGCAGAACATCAACACTGCGGTTGGTACCACCGGAGAACGTGGTCTCCACAAACCAGTGTGTAATTAAGGCGGCCCCTGCAGGACTCCATTAATATCTCATAATATAATGCTCATTTCATTGGAGGACGACGAAGATGTGGGAGTGTTATTGAGCTCAGGAGGGAGTGTGTGAGTTCACACACACACACACACTTACACACAGACAACAGTGTGAGAGGAAACACATGAGCAGATGGGTTTCTCCTTTTTCTTTTTTCTTTCCTTGTTATTATGTTTTTCATGTTAACACTTGTAATTATCTGCTGAAGAACAGAGGTTCTAATGGAGTCAGACATGGAATGAAGTCAGCCGATGACCCAGGGAGGGAGGAGAGTCACATGACCATCATCCTCTGAGTCGAAGAAATTGAGGTTTAAGAAATCACTCTGTCCTCACTAGAGGCAAGTGGGTTCATAAATAAAATAATTCTTCTGCAAGGGACAAAAGAAAATGACTGCAGTAATGCAGTGTGTTAAAATGTATAAAGACATACAAACATCTAAATTCTCTAAATTCATTTTTTGGAGACAGAAAAGACACAGCTGCTGCTGCTGCGGGGCAAACATTTCAAACCTTCATTGTTTTTGCTGAGTGAAAAGTGTTGCTGCTGGACTGAGGTGAATTGGTTCTGGATTCCAGACGTGCCCAGGATTCTGAGAGCGTCAGCAACAGCTCTGCTGCAGCGCTGAGGAAACAATGTGATGATTTTAGTGTTTCTGCAGACTGTGCAGGAACAACAGTCATCTGCCACACATCTAAGATTAGCATGTATTACACTTGATGAATTCAAATGTGCAACGTAGCTCCAACTAAAGATGGATTTTGTGAAAATGACTGAAGCACTTCTTCACAGAGTGAGTGGAGGGCTCCTCTGTTGACCCCTCGGTCCTGCAGTTCATCGTTACATCACGAATACAGTCTACAAATACCTCCAATACCCTTAACTATTCTATTGCTGGCTACGTTGTATTATTGTGTAGTGTGGCGTGTCGTAGGTTTCTGCGGGAAATCCTTCACAGTTTAATGCACTAAGCTTTAGCTTCCCATGGACACACTTTAAATGCCTAGTATGCTAACTTTTACCTTCACAAAGGTCTGGAGGTCACTGGCTTGAGTCGTGATATGTGGAAGGCGGGGTGTATCCTAAGGCAAAGTTTCCCAAAGACTGGGTTGCGACCCTCTGGTGGGTCGCTAGAGTTCTTTTTTGGGTTGTCTCACATCATGTTTCCCATGAGGCGAATAATGTCTATTGACTTTTAAAATGGGTCCTCAGAAAAAAAGTTCAGGAAACACTGTCCTAAGGGATGGGGAACGCTTCAGGTGGACTGCAGACGGCCCGATGATCCTCTCGATCTCATAGAGCCCATTGAACTGAGGTGCCAACTTACAATGCTCTGTCTGAAGGGGAATGTCCTCAGTGGATAACCACACCTTCTGTCCAGTTTGGTAGGATGGAGCAGGAGCGATGTCTGTCTGCAGACTCCTTTGCTTTCGACTTGGCCTGTATCAGGGCGGTCCTTGCCACTCTTCAGAATCTGCGGGACCAGTTGATGTTCTCCTGCACTAATGGAACAGCCACCTCCACCTCCTGCTCAGGGAAAACAGGAGGGTGATATCCAAGAGATGCCATGAAAGGTCACATACCTGTGGCTGACGATGTCAAGGAATTATGTGCGTATTCCACCCAGAGAAGGAACGGACTCCGTGAAGCTGAGTTGCGGCTGGTCACACAACGGCGGACGGTTCCCAAGTCATGGTTGGCACTCTCCTTCTGGCCATTAGGCTGGAGGTGGTAACTGGATGACAAGCTGGCTGATGAAGACATGACATAATGGGGGCAAAGCTAGAGCTTCGGTCGGGATCCCGACCTGCAGGAGGAAAGTCTAAAAAGTTCCCATCTGCCGTGGAGTCAATGAATACAGGGACTGGAAAACAGAAGTGACCCAATGGAACTGTGGAGAAGGATTGTCAGAGAAAGTATGGCTCGCCAGTACGCTGCGTCTTACTGGTGGGCCTGGTCTTTTAGCCACTGCGGACTAAATAAAATGACCACTCTGTCCACAGAAAAAACAAACCCCAACCGATCGGGAACAAGTCTCCGATGAAGTGACAGGAGGCGGCTCCTCTTTTTGTTCTCATTTTCCCCCTTTTTGACCGGTTTTCTTTTATATTTCTATTTACAGTTTGTGTGTGCATGTGCACATGCATGTGCGTGATGTTGTGGAGGCTCTCATGAAAGCAAATCCTGTATCTAGATTTTACAGCAGGAGTCAAGGTCAAGCTTTCAGTGGGTTTTTTTTTTACTGACGCAGGATAAAAAACAAGCAAACAGTGAGAGTTTTGAAGGAGATCAGAGATACAGCAGCAGACTGTCAACGACAACAACAGTAATAATGATGAACAAAGCGGAGGGTGAACCTCTGTAATTCAGTTAAAGTTAAAGAGTAAAAAAACAGTTCCATCTGAATCAGTTCCATCAACTGTATGCTGTTTTCACTCTTATGGAATCATGAATCTTTTTTAAAAAACATTTCCACATTCCAGGTCTGTGTGGAAGGTTCCCAACAAAAAACAATGAATATATGTGTATTATATATTATAATGTATGTTTGATATGATAAAAATAAATAATATTTTGGTGAACAGCAGCTTCAGAAACCTGCTGGTCCTCACAGCGTCACAGCATCAGTTCCAGATTTTAACACATCTCACTGTGTGGGTGGAAACAAAAGAAAACACACCGGTGCTGCCCAAAGTGGTGGCTCTGGCCCCCTGCTGGGTCACTGGGGAACTGCCAGTGGACTTTCGGAACAAGTTGTTAACTGTCTTTCTTTGTTTGTGTGTGTGTTATCAGGCCCTTTCCATCAGAGGACACAGCTCTTAACGAGGATGACGTCTACAGGAGCCTGGAGGAGCTGGCAGAGTGAGTTTGCGTGATACACTTACACACGCACACACACACAGGTTTGATGTCTCCATCAGGAGTCGAAACTTAATTAAATCAAATCTCCTGATTCGTCTTTAAATTTTCCCCATGAAAACAACAAAAAAGTTCTAACTTTGTAGTTCTAACTGATTTAGATCATTTTTATACAGTAAACATTTGGCTGACTCTGAGTTACTGTTTGACATCATTTGATCATTTGTTTGTTTTCCTCTTTGTAACATTTAAATGTTCCTCTGGAATAAGTACTGTGAAGTCGTAGTATTCAGTTCAGCCACCAACTGGTCTTTACTGTTCTGTTCTGTATGAAGAGGCTAAGACTGTGTGACTGAAGATGTTCATATTTTATTTTTTTTCCCCTTTCCTGTATCTCTTTTCTACTGCTTCACTCAATTGGGTGATACAAATATACAAAGGTCCCAGAACTATTTCCAGGAGACACTTAAAGCATGTAAAAATGTTTGATATAATTGGAGTCCAGCTAAGCTAATGTTTCCACTACAGTCTGGTTCAGGTGGACCAGGGCTGCTCCTCCTCACCTTCACCTCCTCTGGAGTCAGGAGTTCTCTGCTCCTCTTTCTTCTCAGGCCTGACTGAGTCTGTTCTCCTCTGAGACCTGGGTTTACAGTACGTTGGAGAACCAACAGCATGTGTTAACCTCGCCGTCGTCCTCTTTTGTACTTTGTTGCTCCATTTAATCCCTGTGGCAGCTTCACAGGGAAAATCAATGAGAAAAAGACTGGAAGCAATTGGCTCAGGTTTCAGCGTCTGCAGCTTGGAGCTGAGCTGCTGAAGCTCCACTCAGACAAACATCTTCTCTCTGCTGTTCAGAGGAAACGAGGAAAATATTTTCTCTAAAAACCCTGAGTTTTAACATTAGAATCAACAACATGTTGAATCATTAAGGCCATAGTTATAACTATGGCTAAATCTGAGTTGAGTTTTTAAGTTCATATTGAGGTTTTGTTCGGGCTAACTTTCAGCTATCTCAGGTTTAGTCCTGTAACTTTTAGTCATACTTAACAGTTAACCATTAGCTGTGTTAGTAACAGTGAAAATGCTAATGTTTGCTGTTTATTTGGGTAGCTGCTGAATTGTTACGCGGAACCCGGCTGTGTTGACCTCTGATGACCTCGGATTAGTTGAACATGGAAGTGAAGGATTTTGTTCAAACAGTGTAAACATGTTGGGTTAAACACTAAGGTTTCTGGGAAATAAACGAGTCACATGACCATGTTGAAAAAATCAATGACATCTTGGACCTCCTGTGTTCTGAGGAGCAGCATCAGCTCCAGGCTTCACTCTCTCCACAGGCTGCTCCAATAATCAAAGGTCAGAAGCATTTCATTAAAGACAAATGTCAGTCAGTGACATCACCGCAGGTCTGTAGTTCGATTCTGCTGTCTCCTGTGTTCACCGTTGACTTCAGTTTTTTGGTTTAATCGACAATAATGACATTAGTAAGTATCTCATCCGTGTGTGTGTGTGTGTCTGTCTCCCCACAGTGAACATGACCTTGGTGAAGACGACATCTACGACTGCGTCCCCTGCGAGGACGATGGAGACGACATCTACGAGGACATTATCAGGGTGGAAGTTCGACAACCCATGGTAAGAGCGAGCAGACTCCTCGGTGGGTTCACTGGTGATGTCATCATCACTCTGTGGACATTTTTACATCAAACATGACACCAAATTTATCTGTATGAGAGAATCAAACAGGAAGTGATGTCATCGATATGAATAGGGATGATGGGAAAAATAATTTCTAAAGTCCCAAAACAGACCCAATGTAAATGTTTCAAATGACAGGAATTTGTTCATTTCAAAACCAAATCTGATTAAATTAAATTTCTGCTGAGCTTTGACCTTCACTGCTTTACTCTCCTCATGCTGCAGATCAGATACATGCAGGTGAGTTCTCCTCTTTCTCCTCCTCCTGCTTTCCTCCTTATCCTTCTCCTTGTTCATCAGCTTTTCCTCCTTCTAACTTCTAGTCCCAGTTCTTCTCCTGCTGCTTGTTTCCATCCTGCTCCTGCTACTCCTCCTCCTCCTTCTCCTCTTTCTTCTCCATTATTACCCGTTCAACTAACTGATCCACAGTCTGGACCATGAGTCCGTTGAAATATAAAAGTGTGAAATATAAATAACCTCATTCACCTACAGTTAGATAAATAACAACAATAAAGAATATTCTATTCTATTCTGTTAACAACTGGTGAATATGACCAGGACCTGCACCTGGACCTGGCCTCCTATGAAATCATGACCTGTTAACACCTGATAATTGAGGACGTGGTGAATGACACAGTCCTTGTCCCAGAGAAGTCCAGTCCTGTCCATCTTGTCCTGACTGCTCTGGTCTTTTGTAGAAAATGGGAATGACAGAAGACGACAAGAGAAACTGCTGCTTGGTGGAAATTCAGGAGACAGAAGCCAAATATTACAAGACTCTAGAAGACATTGAGAAGGTGAGACAACCTCCCCTCTCTGTTCTCCCTGTCTGTTCTCCCTCTCTCACACTTCATTGTCTAATGTCATCTAATAATAATAATAATATTAATAATAATAATAATGTTCTCTCCTGACGACACTCACACTTCACACCAGCCTCCTGCTCTGTCATGTAAATGTGTGTGATGTGTAAATGTGTGTGTGTGTCTTACTCGGGCTGAGTGAGAACAAATAGCCTGCCTGAGTTCAGATGGCTCGTTAGCTTTAATTGAGTGCAGGTTAATTAAACCCCTGGTCTTTTCCTGTTTGATTCATTTGTTGTTGTGATGACGATAAAATCTGAAGACCATAAAAAACGGAACAGTCTGTGTGGACGACAAATCATCCACGCAGACTGACTGACAGGTGTTTACGACTGCTGCTGAAAGACCAGTTTATAGATGCTGCTGCTGATTCATATGCAGGTATTGACACAATTATGACAACGTTTATAGGAGCAATTTTATTTCTTTATCCAGAGAAAGAATATACAGTATGTATGAAATTCCCATCAAATTCAGTCTTAAAAAATCATCAAAATATGTTCATTATTTAATTTTTTTTCAGACAGGAATTAGCAGCAGGTTTTATTCACTCACTCATACATACTCTCATACTGTCTAACAGACAATACAGATGCCCATAGAGAAAATCAGTGATTTTAGTTCAGACCAAAGTCCATAGAGAAAATCTGTGATTGTAGCTCACAGACCAGTCCATAGAGAAAATCAGTGATTTTAGCTCAGACCAAAGTCAATAGAGAAAATCAGTGATTTTAGCTCACAGACCAAAGTCCACAGAGAAAATCAGTGATTTTAGTTCAGACCAAAGTCCGTAGAGAAAATCTGTGATTGTAGCCCACAGACCAGTCCATAGAGAAAATCAGTGATTTTAGCTCACAGAACAAAGTCCATTGTTAACACATTTGGACCAACTGAGGAGGCAGTGGAAAATCAACAACTGCTGCGTCCCAATGAGTAAAAACACTGATTTTCTCTATGAGGTCTGGTGTGTGAGAGTCGGCCCCTGCTTCCTCCAACTGCCATGTTAAGTTTGAACCAGACTACATTTTCTCTGCCCAGTAATAATGATTATCATTGACCCTTTTGTCTTTTCTGTAGAACTACATGATTCCACTGAGACAAGTCCTGAGTCCTCAGGACATGGAGGCCATCTTTGTAAACCTGGAGGTGAACTGTTTATTTTAAGTTGTGTGCTGATCAGAGCATTTTTGTTATTTTATTACCTCTTTAAATTTATTATTTTCAATTAAATAAATTAGACTGCCCACCGCTGTTCTTTTTAATTCAACTGTTGTTGATGGTGCACTTTCACAATTTATTGTCCCTTAAGTTTTGCACTTTCTGCTGCACTTCTGCAACTTCATCATCATGGGACTACAAAACACTTCTGCTTTATTACAAACAGAAATGAGCGTAGAGCTGCATTAGGACCAACTGCAGTGTTTAGGATTTCTCTTAGTTCATATCTGCATACAGATTCTGTTTTGAGTTCCCCCTACTGGAGAAAAGTGGACAGATGGCAACATTTCACACTGGACTAGACTGACAACCTCAACACCTTGACTGTTTAATTTTCATCTAATTTATTTAGTTTGATAACTAACACATGTACTTCTATGAGCACCCAGTAGGTGACACAAATAGTTGTTACATTGCTGTTTCTTTCCTGTGAGCATTGTCAACATTTTTACCTTCTCTCTGATTTTTTTCGTGTTTTCTTTCTATTGACCAGTATAAAATGACATTAACTATACAGCATGTGTATAAACAAATGGAGAAGAGATGCTTATGATGTTAGCAGTGTTAGCTTCCTTTGTGAAGACTGCCTCCCGGAATGAAATGCTACTGGCGGGATGCTACTGGCGGGATGCTACTGGCGGGATGCTAACAAGCGACCTACTTGTACAGCTGACCGAGCTTGTACAGCTGACCGAGCTGCTATCGGGTCGGCTGACCGACCCGATAGCAGCTCCCTCTAACCTCCATCCAGTGGACGTCAGTGACCAGTCTGAATGTTTCCTTAGCTCTTGGTGGAGAAGTCTTAGTTCACAGTCACATTAGTTTAAAACAATGCACCAGAATATGTGAATAATGGGATAGGCATTTATATGTGTACTTAGCTCCCCCTACAGGCCCGGTAAGGAAGCTACATTCTCAATGTTGATAAACACAAAATACCAGAATGATTGAATAAAACTACAGACTGTACCTTTAAATGACCAGGACTACTGACACAGCCTGGTCTGGAGAGAGACGTCAAGTTCTTTCCCTGTTTCTTCACTGACACTTGGCAAGAAAACCATGATATCAATATTTATCAGCGTCAGAGTCGTTTTCAATCTCACTTTTGCAAAGAACAGCTGATGTATTGCCGCTGATTCGTCATTAGTAAGTCTGATGTGAAGTGATAATTGTTTGGAAACATGAGCAAGTATTTGAAGCATTATTAGTAATTCTCAGGTATACAGTATTTGGTGCTATAAATACATCTTTGACTGATTTTTTTTGTTTTTTTTAGGATGTGATCAAAGTCCACTTTGCCCTGTTACGAGCCATCGACCTGAATATGGTGAGTGGAGGAAGTGACCTGGGGAAGATCTTCCTGGACTTCAAGGAGAGGTGAGTTTTGCCTACAGTACCATTTTCTCAGTGGGAGAGAGAGGAGGGGGCTGAGGGGTGCCAGCAATTTAGGACATGCTAGACCTACGACGTCTCGTGGTTACATCACCATATCCCATAATTCCATTTCTAATTTATAAGGGAACTGGCGGGTTTTAGCACCATACACTTGGACAGAGTAGAAGAAAACGTCTTCACGTGGTGCTTTACGACATTAGCCAGTTGTACACCATACATTGGATTGTTCTACATTCACTTTCGTTTTTGAGTATTTTTTGGGAACTGTTTGCCCTTCATTATGACCCACAGGTATAAGTCAGACTTCTGATGTTTTTATGTCCTAGATTATGATGTTACCACTGTGTTAGTGTAGGTGAGTGACATCGTGTACCATATGTGAGTTCTCATTCTTACGGTTATCAAGCTACGTCAAGTGGAGGACCCCTGTATATGAAATATCACATGATCATCACCTGGGTCTGCTTTATCTCCAAACTTTGGCCCTTCTCGGCAGCATCGACAGAACCGTCACTGTGCTCATCTCTCTCTGTTTCTAACTTTAGACAGAAAGACTTAACATTTATCTCCTATTCAAACACAAATGCGACACTCTATTCTCACCTTTTATTGACATTTTCCGAACCAATTCTCTGGGTTATTTTCAGACAGATTTACAGGTTCTTTAAGAGTGTGATTGACATGTCAGACTCTCCTCATTATCCCGTGTCTCTGTGGAAAACCATCAGTTCTAAGCAGAGGATTTCAGTCTCTGGCTGTTCCTCCGCAGGATCACAGTTGGCAGAAAGAATCCGTTTTGGTCGGCGCGTGTTCATCCTCCTGACCTTTACAACAAAGCTGCGGTTTCTGTTCCTCTTCTTCTCAACGAGACGTAAAGACGTCGTGAAAATGTCACAGGTTTATCTCTGACACCCCCGGTTCTTAAAGAGCGGGTACCGATACTGACAGAACAGAGATACTCAACACTGAAGTCTCTTCTGATTTAGGCTAAGTGAGTCAAGTCTGAAGAAAACAATTCTAAACAATAGCAGGAACCAGGGACAATGACGGTACTGTAGGACTGTGGGCTTTTTGACCAGACATGCAATTCACATTACAGCCTTGAAGTCTGAGTTTTCAGTTTTCTTGCAACCCTTTAATCATTAACACACACACACACACACACACACCCAGCTGAGCTGAGACTCCTGTCTTGGAGGCCCTGGAGCTGAGTGTGGCCCTGATTAAGACCTGATCCGGACTCACAGAGACAGTTTGTGCTGCAGCTCTGACTGATGGAGATAAATGTGAGTCTTCATCAATTAGTTTTCAGCAGGGGCCGAGAGGAGAGGAAGGAGGAGAGAGGAGGGCAGATGAGAGTAGAGGATGCGTTGTGGAGAGAGAAAACACTAACGAGACCTGAAGATTTTTGAAATCACTGCTCAATGACAGGAGATCAGTGTGGTGCTGCTGCTGCTGCTGCTGCTGCTGCAGGGAAAAAGTCAACATTCTTATATAGTATAAACCACATTTACAGACAACTTTTATTTAAAATGCCCTCGTGGTTCAAATCTGTTGACTTGAAAGAAACGCAAACTTTAAATTAACACTTATTTCACTAACCAACTCTTTTATGTTGTTAAAAATATTAATAATATCAAGACTGAGCCCTGAGTTCACAGGCCTGACCTCGAGTCCTGAGCAGAGGAACATCGTTAGAATTTATGCTGACCTTTATTTCACTTTTCGACTGTTTTTGTTTTCTAACCTTTAGCTATATTCAACTGAACCTTCGAAACGTCTGCCCCTGCTGTCTATTTGACTAATGTATAGTTTTCTTTAGCTAACAATTAGCATCATTTTAATTGCTAAAGCTGTTACTATTTTTTATTTTCTAGATCATGAAATTTTCTCAAAATAATTTTAGTTGCAGCCTTCAGTGTGTAACTCTGGTAATGTTTTGGGATAATTGTGATTTTTTTTTTTAGTAATGTTAGGCTCTGTGTCTCCTGTGTCTGTTATTTTGCAGTTTGCTGATCTACGGTCAGTACTGCAGTCACATGGAGAACGCTCAGAAGACACTGGACGAACTGATGGCTACCCGAGAAGATGTGAGGATCAAAGTGGAGGTGAAGATCTTCATCTTTAATCAGGGTTTTAAAACTAACTGAAGAAAGTCACAGGGCGCTGTGACCCCAGGGGGTCAGTGGAGGTACTACAGAAGGTTTTGAGGGAAAAAAAAGGTGTTCAATATAATAATACATAATAATTGTAATACAATACAAGTGAAGTATTCCTGAGGTGTCCCCAGTCTGCTGAGAGACATGGTCTAGGGTTTTCCACTGGTCCTCCTCTCACGCCACAGAATAGCTCACATCTCTGTTCTGACCTCCAGTGGTGAAAGACTGAATATTAAGATCCAATGATGAAAATATGTTTTTGTCAGTATTTTTGTCTTTTCCTGAGTTTTCTTCTTCTTCTTCTGCAGGAATGTACGATGAAGGTCCAGGAAGGCAAGTTTAAGCTGCAGGATCTGCTGGTGGTTCCGATGCAGAGGGTCCTCAAGTATCACCTACTACTGAAGGTAGGGGGCACTATGTCTCCTTTGTGCAACTACTGTGTAATCAGGAAGAAGCAGCAACACTTCATATAGAAGCACAAATATTTACCAGTCACTGTTTGTTTATTGATCATCAATTTAAATCACATTTTAATAATTGACTGGGCTGCTGTGGGTCCACACACACACACACACACACACACACACAGAGGTGGATGCTTTGTTTGTGTTTGAATAAAACCCCTCCAGGATCCTCTCTGGACCCACATCAAGTGCAGTAATCACATTAAATTCAATCCATTTCCCTGCTTTGCATGAGAACACAGTTACTGCTGCTGCTGTATCTCCTCCTACTGTATTGTACGACTGTACTGTAGTACTGTACTGGACCTACTCCATGTACTTTGTTTGCTGAAGGTTTCTCTGCTACAGTGCTGTGGGATCACAGATTAAAGGCTCTTTCTTGATTTTATATTAAAATAGAGCAGATGTAAATAGTAACTTCTTCATTTGTATAAAAGGGCAAAGCAATAGTGTGTATTATTTGGTGTGACAGTGGTTCCCAAAATGAGCTGTGGCTCCAAGTTGGTAGCACAGAGTTTTGGCAAGGGGACATTTTAGTCATTTCTTTTTTCATTTTCACCACTGAGGAGAAAAAATTCACTGCTTCACCTTGTCATTTGTTCTATGACCTTTTTTAACAGCTGAGTTATGGCTGAGGGAAGTGACAGGAAGTCTGTTCTTTGTCCTGGGCCTGTGAATAAAGACCTGCTGATGTGGTTCTTTACAAACAGAACCATCGTCTGGTTCCAGATGAGTCATTAAGTCTGTTTGTCTCCACAGGAACTTTTGAGTCACTCCACTGATCGACCAGAGAGACAGCAGCTGAAGGAGGCACTGGAGGCCATGCAGGTGAGTATGTGTGTGTGAGTGTGTATTTACACATATGTGTGTGTAGAATATTAATGATACATTTTCTGATTGGCCTTGATTTCGTTTGTTTGGTTTTGTCAGGATCTGGCCATGTACATCAACGAGGTGAAGAGAGACAATGAGACCCTGAAGAAAATCAGTGAATTTCAGAGTTCTATTGAAAACCTGGTAAGTGGAGAATGATTGTTTTAGGAAGTTGACCTCAGTGACCTCTGCTTGTAGTAAGGGTCACCGATCTTTTTAAAGCACAGACCAGTTTCCTGTTAGACCACATTCTCGTTGAAGGTCAACTTGACATACCTTTAAAATAAAATGATAAGATGGGGATGTAAACAAATGTGAAGGTCACCGTTGGATGGTTGGACGGTGAATTATTCACAGCAGCTCATCCACTTGCTCTTCACTGCATTAACGTTCAGACCTGTGCTTCTGAACCTAAGCAGCAGGTGAGACTGGAGGAGTACGGCCGACCCAAGATCGACGGAGAACTGAAGGTCTGCTCCATCCTCAACAGAACCAAACAGGACCGGTGAGTCCAGAACCTGCAGGCACAGGGTAAAGGGCTGTAGTTCTGACCCTCAAGAGGTGGAGTTACCGTGACTGTGTTTTCCACAGGTACATTTTCCTCTTCGATAAAGTGGTGATCGTTTGTAAGAGGAAAGGATACAGCTACGAGCTGAAGGAGATCATCGAACTGCAGTCCTACAAGATGTCTGACGATCCCATGAACAACAGGGACATGAAGAAGGTGAGACCACAGATAATGTCAGCAGCTTCACATTCTCCAAGTCAACTGACTCTACCTACAGTCAACTTTGCCCGCTGTGGCTTGTGGATGGGAACGTCATTGGAGAACTGAAGTGTTTAAAGTTATAGGTCAGGTTTTTTATATGGGGTTGTTGGAAGTTGACATGGCTGTCAGCTGAGACATGACTAAAAATAAAGGGATATTTCTCCTTTTTTACAAAATGAGAGTGGACATCTCTTATCAATTGTCTGTTTATTACTCTCTCTGACACCAAAGTCCATAGAGAAAATCAGTGATTTTAGCTCAGACCAAAGTCCATAGAGAAAATCAGTGATTTTAGCTCACAGACCAAAGTCCATAGAGAAAATCTGTGATTTTAGCTGAGACCAAAGTCCATAGAGAAAATCAGTGATTTTAGCTCACAGACCAAAGTCCATAGAGAAAATCAGTGATTTTAGCTCACAGACCAAAGTCCATAGAGAAAATCAGTGATTTTAGCTCACAGACCAAAGTCCATAGAGAAAATCAGTGATTTTAGCTCACAGACCAAAGTCCATAGAGAAAATCAGTGATTTTAGCTCACAGACCAAAGTCCATAGAGAAAATCAGTGATTTTAGCTCACAGACCAAAGTCCATAGAGAAAATCAGTGATTTTAGCTCACAGACCAAAGTCCATAGAGAAAATCAGTGATTTTAGCTCACAGACCAAAGTCCATAGAGAAAATCAATGATTTTAGCTCACAGACCAAAGTCCATTGAGAATATCAGTGATTTTAGCTCAGACCAAAGTCCATAGAGGCTTTAAACAGTCAATTCACAAAAATCATCAAACCTGTGGATCACGACTACTGTGTTTCTGTGAGCTAAAAACACCAGTTTTCTCCATGTACTTTGGCAACCACGTTTTCACTGATGGTCCCAAGTCACCAGGTGACGCACAGCCAGTTGTCAGCACGGCATATGTGTAGATGAAAACCTGAACTATCCCTTTGAACCTGTGATCATTTGTGCTCGTATTTGGTTTTGACTGTGCTGACGACCATTGTATGTCAGTGCAGTAACAGGAGTCATTCAGTCATACAGCAGTGCATCATGGGCCGCCGTTGACGCAGCTGCCGCTCTAACATGGCTTGTTGGTCTTTTGTGTTTGGATGTGCATGTGTCTCCTCATGTGTGCATGTGTAACTGGGTCTTTCTCTGGTCTCTTTCTTTTTGCATGCTCACAGTCCAGTGGAAAAATGGTAAGATCCAGTTCAAACTGGTTTACTTTCACTCATTCTCTCTCAGTGGTCTGTTGGTTTTTTTTTTCTTCTGTGAATGCTGCGGTGTTGTTTTATTTATTTTTCCTGTAGAGGTATTTGCAGCTCTGTGGTTGCGTCACTGCAGCATGTGGAGTTTCTCTCAGTGCAACTTTAAACACAATGTTTTTATTTTTTTCTTTGCAAAGATAATTTGCAGTAAAGTGTTTTTTTATTTTTCTCTGGCTTCTTTTCATTCATCATCACCTTCATCCACACATTTCTTCCTCCATGTCCTTCGTCTCCTCCTCCTCTTCACTCACATCTTCTCTGCAGTGGTCGTACGGTTTCTACCTGATCCACCTGCAGGGGAAACAGGGCTTTCAGTTCTTTTGTAAAACTGAGGACACCAAGAGAAAGTGGATGGAGCAGTTTGAAATGGCAATGTGAGTAAAACTGAAACAAATACTATACATACAAATAACAATAGCAGGAGAGTGAGAGTCTCTGCAGTGGTACACTTCTGTCACTCACACCCTCACTCAGAGTGAAGGTCCATTTGTGTCGGTGTATGAACACAGGTTGTCCTGATCTTTGAAAACACCATATGTCAGATTTGGATTTGATGTAGCAGCACATATTAAAAGTGACCTGGGCTCCACCTGAAAATGTCCTGTTGGTTCTGAGAGATTCAGATTTCCATAAACTGGTGTTATAAAATTGACTCTCTTCTGCTCCAGCTCCAACATCAAACCAGAGAGAGCGACGGCCAATCAGCACAACTTCCAGATGCACACCTTCGATAAGAACACCAACTGTCGAGCCTGTAAGATGCTGCTGAGGTGAGAGAACTTCCTGCTTCCCTGACGTCAAATTAATTAAATTGACCTACCGCCCCCCAACCTAATAACTCAGCACCCCCAAGGGGGGTGGGGGGTGGGCTGCCCTGCCCTTGTCCTGAGTGGGGTCAGAGACCCTTTATGTTTTTTTTTCTCCTGCTCCTGCTGCACCTCCTGCTGCTGCTCCAGCTCCTGTTGTGATTAATGGTTCTCTGCATACAACATGACAGAGTCTGCTGTTTCATTTTCTGGAACAAATGAACTGCTGCAGTTTCAGCCTATGTAATGGACTAAGTTCAGTTTGTGATTTTTAAAGGAAATGAGAGAACATGTGTGAGGAGAACAAGAGGAATAACCTCAGCAGCAGCAGCAGCAGCAGCAGGACTGAGACAAAGATCATTAGTGTCTGGGACACTTCCTGTTGTCATTAATGCTGTGCACGTGCGTCTGTGTTCCTGGTCCAGGGGCATCTTCTACCAGGGTTACTTCTGCGCTCGCTGTGGAACAGGAGCTCATAAAGAATGTCTGGAAGTCATCACCATCTGTAAAATCAGTGAGTGTGGTCTCCTCAAGACGCTGTGACATTTACAGAGATTAAACCTGGTCTTTATCATCTTTTTACTTTACAAAAGTGCTGGGTTTTAAATCCAGGAAAGGTCAAACCCGCTCCGCTCATCTCCTGTAAAGATCAGTGTGTTCACATGTTTAAATTCAACTGTCTGAACAGAAACACAGCTCGACGCTATCCCAGTCAGCTGGCCCAGGTTTTATCACTGAGATTAACGCTAAATGTTAGCATAGATCTGCAAACATTTGCCAACTTATTTTTACATTAGTATTTTCTTTTCAAATTATATTGAATGTTTTGTTTGAAAATGTCGTTAAATTATTTAAAAAAGACAAAATTCATTATTAAACATTATTTTAGATGTTTTTATTGATGCACACAGTCCCATATTAGGCAGAAAAACTTTTTTTTTTTTAAATTTAAATAAATTTACAAATAAATGTTTTTTTTTTCTTTTTTTCAGATCCTCATGACCTGGTGAGTCACTCTTCTTATTTGATCACAATCAAGATTATTATTCATACATTTTTTATAATGAAGTCGGTACTTTAACTATTTTTACATCATTAACGATAACTATTGTACCCATTGTTACAGGAGCCTGGTTTGTCTGCAGGTAAGAGACTCTCGGTGTTCTACTGTTGAATGTTCTGGTCAGATAAATCTGCTGGGATCTGGACAGACCTATGCTGACATCTAGTGGTTAAATTTTAACAGCACAGAAGCTAAAATCATGGTTTTAAATCCTCAGGTAGAGATTACATAGATGATCTTTTCGGTTGTGTGAAACGATGATTACGCACCTAGATAATCAAATACGTCATTTAATAAAAGTAATTTATACATGTAGTAAAGTCAGCAGTTTGTTTGATACTTGATCTCAGACAGACTGTGTGTATCTACAGGCCCGAGGATGGTGGCAGTGAGGAATTATCACGGAACACCGACACCGCCGGGTAAAACACCGCTGTGTTTCCAAACAGGGGACTTTATCGAGCTGCTGAAGGGAGACCCCGACACCTCCTGGTGGGAGGTAATCTACTGCTTCCGTTCAATTTGATTTTCCCAGCGTTCACTTTAAACTTGTATTTCTACATTCGTATCTCTTATAACTGTAACTGATGTAATAGATATCTTAAAGAGTTACCGGGTAAAATAATTATTAAAATAGAATTAAAGCATTAGCTCAGGGAAACTGGACGTTCACCAGAAACATGTTCCAGTTCATAGTAAAGTGTAGGAGAAAACTAGTCATGTTGATAAATGGAAGGGCTGTCAAAATCAACGTGTTAATTAATTTGTAAATCAGAAGAAAAAAAACGTAAAGGAAAGTGCACTACATATCCCATAGTTCCACTGCCCATCTACACGTCGTTGCTCGTGTCAATGTGTGGATTTCAACCATTTCTTTCCGAAAAGCAAATTAAACAAAAAACATACAGGAAATTAAATGAAAAACAAAAAGAATGACATGAAAGGAGTCTAACCAGCGCTGATTTTTTCATACTAATAGTCATTTGGACAATAATAAACATAACGAATGGAGACATTGACAATAAAGTAATCTAATTATTCTCGATAAAAAGTATTTTGTAGCAAATAATAAATACAGTGGAACCCCAGACTACTGGGATCTGGACCAGTATCACACCATGGACCATTAGGTACGGGGCCAAATGAAAACAATTAAAACATATATTAATGATCTGATGCAACATAGTTTGGTAGTTTGAGGCCATTGGCCAAAAAATAAACAACAAACAAACCAAATTACCCAGAAAGGTCACCAAAAGGTTAAACCAAGTAGTATCAAAATTATAACATCGTGGATAAGTAAGATAAAGTTTGTCAATGTACTTCTTTTCACCTTCTTATTTTAGAATCCCTGTTAACTTTTGAATTTCTTTCTGTTCTGTTTGTTTGTTTTTTTTCATTTGTTTGTTTGTTTTTTATTCCAGGGGAAACTGATCCAGACTCTGAAGACGGGCTTCTTTCCCAGCTCCTGTGTTAAACCTTATTTGGACCCAAAGGTTTGTTAAACATTTCCACTGAGAGAAACAAGTAACTCATCTGCGTGCACGTGAGAGTGCACGTGTGTGGAGAGAAAAGGCTCATTACCATCCCGCATCTCTTCTTTATTCTGTGTTTGTCTTGTGCAGCCGTTCCAGTCATTATCCAGCCGACAGTCCTCCCGGGAAACAGACTACTACGGATATCCTTGGTAAGAGCCTTAAAGGGAGAGTACAGGTTTTTTTGAAGTCTGCGTCTTTCAGGTACTGACACATTGTCAACACTCCCAGGCTGAGCTTTCTAATGAACCGTCCTGGGGAAAAAAACAACCACTTGTTCAGAGTCAGAAAAACATGCAGGAGAAACTTCGCTAAAGCTTTAACTGATATTCTTCATCGTCATCTGACGTCTATGAGATATTCAGATTAAACACCATTTCCAGCAGAAAACCGAGGT